AGCACTTGCATATTAAGCAATATGCATTAAGCCAAGCAGGTGCATGGAGAGAATCACGGAGTCGTTATGGCTGGAAGAGAACTTCAAGATCGAGTCCATGCGGAAGCTAGCTTTCACTCACCTTTTCCTGAAAGCTCACTAGGCTACTTTGGTTACGGAGAAGAATTTCACTCCAGTTGCTTACTAGCACCACTGTGCACAAGACCCCAGATCAGATACACACGTGATGATACAGCAGGTGTTCTTTTGCATGTATTCAATGCATTCAACTAAATGCTAGGTCATTCCCAGTATTGACTGTAGAATCAACCAACTTAAATGCAAGAAATTGGCAATAACTGCACAGAATTTTCACAGCTGTTCATTAACTGAGTGGAAATCACACCCAGAGTAACACAGGCAAATCTTAACTCATCTAAATGGATTGGAATTGTACTTAAGAGCATAAGGGCTAACCATTTCCCAGATGCTCCCTTTAATATCATTCACCCCTTATCTGAGCTAAACCAGGTTGAGCTGCATGATTTTTTTTTATTCCCTTTTTAAAACATACCACTTAGCAAGTTCCACAAACCATTAAATAACTAGTTAAGAATTAAATGAGAAGAAGCAAGTGTGACCAAAAATGAAAATGACATTGGATAAACATCTAAAACCACAGTTGGGGGGGGGAGGGGGAAAGAAGACTTAAAACTTTCACACTTAAAAACTGTTATTAGACTATTCTTCACTAGACAAATCACTTCTTCTTTATAGACAATTATTTTATATGTAAAATGCTGGCCTGCAGATTTCTGCAAGTCCTAATTATAGGAAATCCATGAAGTTGTACTCGGGAGTACAGAATTTACTAAATGCTGTTTTATTGCAGCTTGGACTAGTCTGATACAACAGACATTCTAGCTAAAAGCTGTCTGCAGGCTCCAATCTTAGCCCAAGCAGAGGGCAGAAATGCAGGCAAATCCCACCAGGTATTCCCAATGGCTACTGAAAAATCCTCAAACAGAGAGCTTCAGCCTCCTAGCAAGCTGTGGATTTCATGCCACCAACAATGTCAAAATTTAGACATCTTTCAAAGACCGACCCACGTCAACAGAACAGAAATCAAGACTGCCCATAACTCTCCTTCCTAGGGCCAAACACGTGATCAGAGCACCTTCAACACCGAGTTGGCTTGCGGAGACAGGGGCGGCCGAGCAGTCCTCTGCCTGTGACTCAGCCAGTCATGGCTGCACGATACTGAACAACCGTGGGCGAGAATATCACCATTTCCAATTTAGCACAACGTTCTGCTGAGGCACAAAATGTTACTTGTTCCCAGATGCAATTAATGCAGAGGTGGGATTGTTCTTTCTTGTTCTGAGAGCTGTGCTTATCCACAGTCTTATCCACTGATCTAAACCATTTCTGGTAAGAGTTTCGGTGTCGTATTAACCGACAGCAGCATAGTCTTTACGTACTCATTATGAGCACACACAGATTTCTTCAAAAAAAGTTGTCCACCTAGAATTCACAAGAAGAGATCCAACAAAACCTGGAAATTGTTCTACAAGGCATTTTCAATTATGCGCTAGTGGGCTCAGTGTTACCCAAAACATAGACATCAAGAGCTTGGCAGAAAGTGAGCGTATTTAGCTTGTTCCTGTTCCTTCTCTGGTCTTAAACCGGAACAAATGCTCCAGTTTAGCTAACACAAATCACGTGCAAATATGCCTGAAGAGGTGAATCAAATGAGGTGAGAAGGCCTGCAAAGAAGTGTGCAAGGCACACACCACACCATGCACAACACTTGCTAGGGTGGGAGAAGCAAGGCAAGATAAAGGCAACAATATTCCCCAACTAAGAGTTAAGGATTTTTCCTTTTAAATTCACAAAAACATATTCCCAACTTTGTACCACATCCTAAGTACATTCATGTCCTTAGATTACAATCCAACCATCCAGATGAAAGCAAATCTGTAAAACAGATTCAAGTCTGCAAGAACTTCCAGCATAGATCTCCAAGCATCTTGTCTATTCAAATAAGTCATCTACTAGGAAGTCTCACACATTCTGAAAGTAATAAATTATGGCTAACAAGGATATCAAAGATGGGGAGAAGGAGTTAACACCACCTCCCCTTCCCCCTGAGTAACGCATTAATTATAGCTTCCTAGCTTGTGTTACTGATTGGCCGAAACCTAACCCTGTAACATTTTGAAGTTAAATGACGGAGGAAACAAGACTCAAGTGCTTTTCAGAAGCCCTGTGAATGTAAGTATCAAATTAATATCAAAATACCCACCATGAACAGTAATTTTTAAGTCTCTAGCATTCAGAAACTTTAACACATTGAAGACACATTAAAAATACACAATTGAAATAAAAAGTAGTTGGATACTAGGGTTAGATACTAGAAAGATGTTTAAGCACTTCTAGAAAAAAAAATCATATAAAACCCGGAGCAAAACTTTTTTTGCCTGTACTGACTTAAACATCCAGGGTCTCTTTACACTCAAGGGAAATGGGACACAGCAAGTAGAGACTATGGTGAGATGCACCTGTGCAAACAGCTTCCAGCCTCCTGGTCGGACACACTTGCTTCCCATCCCATCCTTAAAAGTTAGGACCAAGTAACAATGTGGTCAAGTGCTGGACCCCACTACCTCAATAGTGTTAAACGGCAAATGAAAATAACGAAGAGGTGAGGCAGGGCACGGTGCATTGCACGTTGGGGCGAGCAGGGTCACGAATACCAGTCCCTGACCAACATGGTATTCTCAGAGAGCAATATAACAGCCAGGACCTTGGCACCAAGCTGGAAATACCCAATGTGGGAAGCAGCAAGTGCTGCTGCGAACTGGTCTTTCCCTTCTGCTCCAGCCCTGGACCCACAAGAAACACTCCCAGGTGCTTCCCCCCTGGAGGAGGGGCTGCCGAGACCAACAGCCGGGCAGGGCGATCCGCGCTCCTGCGAATGCAAAGCGGCGTGTCCCAGCTTCCTCCGGAAAAACACAACAACTGCACACAAGCACGGGGAGCTGCCACCCATCCCTCGGACCGGAATGCCTGCACAAAAATAAAATGCAATCTTTGATAGAAAAAAAACAACATATTCAGATATCTAAGCATATACCTTTATCTTAAATTCTTTCGGATTAAGGAAAAACGGCAGTGATTTTGTTAACTGCAGCTAAATACCATATCCATTTCAATCAGGGAACAGAAAACACCTAACATGAGCAAGGAAAAAAGGATTTTCACCTGTTTAACAAGCCAATTAATAAGAACATTTATTTTGAGGTATTCCATGTTTAATAAAAGCTTGAGACAGGCCCAAGAGCAGGTTTCACTTTTTGTTTAGAAATGAGAAGCCTGGTGCAGGCCCACCATGATGGATGCAAATGTAACGGGGCACTTACAACTTGTGCACAGTATTTAGGAAAGCTACAGCATTAGCACTAGCTACAATACTTGGAAAATGTTAGTATTTGAGTTTGCACCCACACTTACCACCTCTGGGAAAGACAAAGGCAGCCTATACCATGTTTCTCATGTATCAGTATGTTCCACATACCAACATTAAGAAAATATATTCCCTACTAGGTATCCACAAACGAGAGGGGGAGAAAAAAAAAAAAGAGTAAAAATTTCTCAGACAAAGGCAGCCTATACCATGTTTCTCTTGTATCAGTATGTTCCACATACAAACATTAAGAAAATATATACCCTAGTAGGTATCCACAAACGAGAAGGGGGAGAAAAAAAAGAGTAAAAATTTCTCAAACACTCCGTACACCAGAAAACACAATATCAATACAAGAAACATAATTCAAACATTTATCTATAATATTTGCATAATTAAAACTTCAGCAAAGGCTATTCATTTGACTAATCAACTACTACTTTTACATTTATAGAATAAAAGCTATAATTTGGATAAGAAGTCAAATGGTTGTGTTAGGCTTTGGCTGCTGCAAGAATGTTAATTTGCTGATGTCAAAGTATTTTGGATGTGCAAAACTAAAAATAGTTAAAAAAAAATGTAACTTTACTAACTTTTGGCAGAAATTTCATCTTCCAGATACCATTTAGAAGATTGGAAGCCAGTAGAAATAAATAGAAAAAAAAAAAAAAGTTCAATAAACCCAGCTTACGAAGGGAACCACTGCTAGCAAGAACTTTGCCAATACTCAAGGCTAAAATCACCCACATAACACTTCTCAAAAACTTATCAGATAAATGTTAATGCACATACTATAACCAATACGCTCCTTGAGGCATCTTACCCTTATTCTTTCCACATTACTAATCATACTTTTTGCCCCAAACCAAAAATAAAATGTGAAGGGAAAACACCTGCTGATGTGCCTTGTTTCAAATATTTCTATACAGTAAAAACACACCAGGTATCTTCCCACTAAGATAATTTTACCTGTGATTTTTTTAATTATTCTTTTGTAAGGAAAGAGCAACCACTGTAGGTCTGATGCCAGCCAAGGCTGTGTATACAGCTTGCATTTTGTTGGAATGAGGAAGTTACATTTCACCTCTTACTACTCTTCAGAATCAAGAGAAATAAGAACCCTGATTACTGTGCAAAGGACGATATAAACAAACAGGCCTAAGACAATGTAAAACAAAGTGCCTGAGGGCTTCTGTGCCCAAGAAAAGGGACAGGCATTGCAGATGCATAATTTCTTAGGAAAGAAGTTGACTTAACAAAGCAAACAAACCAGTTTTACTTGGGTTCCTTTGCAACAAGGCTATTTAAAAGTAAGTAGTTAGTTGGATGCACTTGGAGTTCAGATAGACACCAGCTCAAAAGAGAACCTATCTACAGAAGAATCAGAATGGGACATTATGTATTTATTATACTGCATTAATAAAAAATCATGAGACTAAAAAGTTAAGCTAGTGACTTTAATTTTAAACATCATCCTACAGTAAATCAAAACCAAACACCTTTACACAAATAAAAACTGACCTAAACAGGGGTTTCATTAAACCAGCAAAAACTGTTATCTTCCTGCAGATGCCCTTGTGCAGCAGGGCAGTGAACTGAAGTGGGCACAACTGAATTCATTGCACTGTCTCTTATCCACGCTTTTCTCTTATGGATTTGCCTCACAACTACCTGTGATACCCTTATGGCTATGCCAACCGTGTGTTAGTAGAAGAAATCAGAGAATATGAACAAGAAAGAGACTGAAACCACTATGTTCTGAAACAGCTCCAGCAAAACTACGACTTTCAAAGAAAAAAGAGAAGGTTAAGGACATTTGTATTGCTCTGGGCACCTGAGGCATCTGCAACTAAACTGCAAATAAAAGAGGACAGACTTTTCTTCATCTTGCTACATCATGGTTTAAGTACAGAGCTACGTGGTATTATGTACAGGTAAGTCATATTAAGCACTAGGACAAAAAAAAAAAGAAGCGCTTAAACCAATAATGTTCCTTAAGAGTTCTTAAATGTAGCATTAGAACCATTTATTATCTTGCAATCATCTACATAAAAAAAAAAAAAAAATCTACCACAGAGAGAAATCTCCTACTTAGGATGACAGAGTTTAGTATGCATGTCATAAATCACATACCACATGGTTTGGGTGGTTTTGCTTATTTGTTAACAGTAAAATACTTCCTGCCAGAGAGAAAAATATATATATATAAAATGTGCTCTTGTTAATTGCTCTAGGCTTAGGCAGAGAAATGGAAAAAAAAATCACCTAATTAATAATGACAGTAGAGGAAAGAAACTTACCAAAGTGCTGTTTCAAGCAAAATCCCTTAGTTAGGGCTACAGAATTTCTGCTGATGAACCCAAACAATATTGACAATTTCCTAGCAAATCCTATTGAAGATATTTCTGCGCATAAACAAAGGCCGTAAAGTAAAAGTCAAAAAAGAAAGAACAAATCCCTGAGCCATCCTCTCAGTTATCATGGGCTACCACAATTACTACCACATTCCCCGGGCAGGGGGGGAGAAGCACACACCCCAGCCCAGGAAATGTTCAGGAGCTACTCAGGACAAATCTGAACGGCAGTTTAGTAGAATTATGTGATATAAATAGAAAGTGTTTGCATGACAGTTTCCTTTCAGAAAATAATGTTTGTGTGAAAGTTTCCTTTCTAAATGGCACATCTAACTTGCATAGAATTCATTTTTATTAATTCAGTTCACAGTCTCCTCATAGATTTAAAATATATATATTCCTTTCTCCGTTCAACACTACTACATGTGCTTAGCAATTCCTGTACTGCTAGCTCCTTTCATTCATACTTAACCACAGAGCCACAAAGCTACTGTACTACCCCTCCAAGTGGAGAAAGTTTCCAGTTTAAAGGAAAAGTTACATATTCTAGTATTCCAAAATAGTTTTCCTATTTTTTAACTTGACAAAAACTTCAACGCTTTACTTATTTAAAAAAAAAAAAAAAAAACAGCTTTAAATATTTTCAGAAACACTACTGTTCAATGTCCACCTTATTTTGGAAGCCAAGTGAATGACAATAATTAATTCAAGCAATTAACTGCAGAAACAAGCGCTACACAAAAACTCAAATTAAAGTTTTTACTGAAAACAGTCAAAGGGCTTTGCCCCTGTCCATTCCTAAACACTTAAAGTGGCAAAGGAAAAAGTAGGAAGCAGAGAGCTTGGCCTAGAGAGACAGGATCAAAGCTGGTTTTGCATTCCTGTAAGTTCTGAACTATTTATTGCACAAGCTAAAAAAGCCTCACACAGCGCAGGCAGCCCCAACAAGCCCCCCAATGCACACGAGGTCCATGGCGCTGCGCGACTGGCAACACGAGTCGCAATAGGCAGCGACAGACCCCCCTCCACCTCCACATCTCGGATCACTACAGAAGCAAGATTCACTTGCAGGGATATAACGCCTTCAGACTGAAGAAATATTCTCCTGATATACTTAAAATTCCTTGCTAAAGACCACAAGAATGAGATTACAAAAAGTGGTTCTTAATTGTTCACTCAAATTCTGTTGACTCAAATGAGTCAGTCCTGTTAATGGGTTCTGTTAACTCAAATTCTCAACTGTTCTGCCAAGAACATTATCTTCAATTTCAAATAAAGATTTTAGTTAAAACTCCAGAGTACTTTTCATTAAACAGATTTAAGAATTCCTTTAATAGGCCTCTGAAAAATGCCACGCTTCTGGGATTTGAAGGAAAAGGAGCAAGGTCCAGAAGTAGAAAAACAAAACAAAACAAACAAAACACAGAGAAATATATGATTCTTCTCAGCTATGTTTGAAGTTTTTACAGAAGTCAAAGAGAAATGCGTTTTTTATAATACGCAAAGAATCATCATGTTGCGTCTGTGCCACTTCTTTTTATAATACGCAAAGAATCATCATGTAGAAGTGGCACAGACGCAACATTATAACTATACATCTTCATTTTATTCACCCACTCCCCCTCTCAGATATGCAAAGATAGTTTCCATAGTAACATGAGAGACTTCGTAATATATCCAAAAGGAAAATAACAGCAGCTTATGTAATAACTTGAAATTCACCTTTGTAAAATATATATATATATATGTATGTTTATTTTAGGACAACATACATAATGATTATTTACTCTTAACACATACCATACGTGGTCAAGATAAACATCTCAAATTCCTGTATTTTGAAAAGTTACTTTGACAGACAGGATGTAACAGCCTAACACCAATGAATTTTTCAATATGCCCTTCCTGCTTATCACCAACTGAGAACATAAATATTAAATACAGAGAGCACATCAATCACAACACACAAGCTATGATCAATTAAAAGGACAACAAATCGTTTATACAAATCTGGAGGAAAAAAGGGGAAAGCAGCAAACTACATTTTAGGTGTTTTTCACAGAGAAGCTTCCCAAGATCAGCTGCCGCTGTCAGGGATCCAGGCCTCCCGTGACAGCCCCCTGCCAGCTCAGACTGGCCATGGCAGATGAGCATCGCTGAGGCGGGTTAGCGAGGAATGAGCCATGCCCAGCGGCTGCAAGGAGCAGCTAATCAGGGCCTGGTAGAAGGTCCCTGGCCAGAGATTCCTTCAGAGAGCTGAAGGAAAACACAGGAACCTGTGGACGAAGAGATGGTATTAAGCCAGGGAATGAATGTCTGGGTAGTGGGATATCAAAGGGTTTTAAGAGAGGGTCTACTTCAGGCTATGGTGAGCGCAGAGAAGGGAAACAGCGGCCAGGTAAATTTGCAACAGCAGGACCAGAGAAGTCTTCAGGAGAGATGAAGCTGATGGACAAGCAAAAGAGTTCACAGGACAGGAGAACATGCAGAGCACTTAAAAGTTACAATGAAAACACCGGAAAGCCTGCAAGGTAAAAACACTCAGCTATAGGCAAAGGAAATGATGAGTGCTTGGGATGTTATCTCTAAGTGGGATTCCAGCGCCAATGGTGAGAAATCAACCCTAGCTGCATAAGGACTAACCTTTTGGTTGGCTGTTGATTTTATCTTTGTTTCAAAAACCTCTACTGATGGAGGCAACTGCAGCTTTGCCCATACCTGGCAGTTACGCCAACCCACCAACTGCTGATTGAGCAATTGAGAGCCCAAAGCCCAGCTGCACAAGGCTTCTTTGTTGGAGTTTTCCTGTTCTTTATCAACAACAGGACGGCACATACTCAGAAATAAAGCCAGAGGAAACTGAGAACATAGGAGAAATGAATAACCAGATTTCAGGAGCTGATGACTCTGCACGGAGGCATTCATGAAATACATGACAGAAGGCCTCTGATTTCTGCCAACCCAGGAGAAATAGCAAGACTAGATCATGAAGTGCTCAACTACAGACCTACCAAGGAAAATGACAGCATAAAACAAACTCAGAGCTTTTGCCACAGAAGAAATTACTAACCTTAAAAATCAATTTGTTAGAGCAGTGACAGAAAGCTCACAACCTTTTACAACCTGAGCTGGTGAAAATACTCGTGCAGAATCACTGCACGCTCTGTATAACTCCAGCATACACAAAGCCTCACACAAACAGCGACTTTAAAATGGATTACTCCAGCTTAAAAACAAAGAAAACACACACACACCTGAAATGCCAACCCCTGACACTGCAGCAGTTTTGACGTCCCCTCAGGGATGCAATATTATGGACAGCTGAGGACTCTGCCATCCCAGGGACAGACAACCCTTCTCTCACTTCCAACCCCACTGGCCAGTCCCACCCTCTTCCTTCAGCTGCTGCTGGCTGAAGTGTTTCATGCAAGCGTCTGATGAGGAGTTCACAGGCTTCTCTGGCGCCTGCTTCCTGCCGCCTTCCTTCCCCATAAGTTAAGGCAACAGGCAGTGCTTAGGGACTCTGGGGACAGAAAGGGTGTGAAGCAGAAGGGCGAGCAGGAACTTGCTCCACCCGGTCACTGGCAAGGGCCAGGATGAGCTGGGATGAGCACCCGGATTTGCGTTGCCAGCCAAGCTGTGGATCAGCTCCTGGGGAGGAAAACCCTCCTGCAGCCACCCACATGAGAGCCTTAAACCAACTGAGAAGTTGCAGCTTAAAAAAAAAAAAAAAGAGTTTACTAGAAATTCTGCCTGCTCCAGCCCCTTACTTCCAAGTCACACTCACAACGCTGACTGTTGAGATGATGGAGAAATTCCAGAGTGGAAATTCACTGGAGAAAAGCACAAGTTTTCCAATGACTTTCAGAAAAAAAGGCTACATTATGGTGCTACCCTTCAAGTGATCTAGATAAATAATAACAGCGATTTAACTTAGACTTTCAAATAAGAAGGCAATTACAGAGCAACTTAAGAGTCAATGACCAAACTGAAAGCAATGAATGCCAAATCACTGTGTGAGGGCTTGGAAGAGATTTCTTAAGCCTTTCAACTCAATCAAGCAGCGAGCAAGCACAGACACAGAATGAATGAGAAAAAAAAAAAAAAGCTTTGTCATATGTTTTGGTGGAAACAGTTTTGTTCATCTGATTTTCATCACCATGACGAAATGCCTTCAGTACTTTTTGATGTTACATATTCAGGTGACATTTTTAAAGTGC